CTGATTCCAGTGGGGATCAAACATTAAAATAAAAATTTCATAAGTGAAGCCAAGGAGGATGAGTTTGGGAGCTCAGTAACCCGACCAAGGAGAGGAAGTCAAGGTAGGCTTCCAGAGGAGATGATGCTGAAACAAAATTCGGAGAGCAGTCATTATCAAGCAAAGAATGCTTCAGGAGAAGGAACAGGACATATGAAGGTTGAGTCCGGTGAGACCCATTCATGGAACCGAAAAACGATCAGAACAGCAGGTGGATGGTCAAAGCAGCGGTAAGTGTGACACGCGGGACAAGAGACCACGCACTGACCCTGAGAGGTCCTGAGGGCGACCAGGGAGGGAGAGCTGGGGTAGGCAGGCAGGTGCGAAGGTTGAGACTTAGGGACAGAGTGGTTTGAGGAGCCCTGCCTGCAAGCACGTCGAGGAGGGGGTGTCCGGATCCAGATGCCAGCGGGTTGGCCCTGGAGCGACCCTCCGAAGGAGCTCGGGAGGGCGGAGCGCGGACCCACGAGCTGTCAGTCGGCCCCAGGGCGCCCTCGTATGCACTCTGTCGACGCCTGTGTCTGCCCGGATCTTGAGCTCCCGAAGGGCGAGGGCTGGGGAAGTTCCCGGGCTCCGCTGAGCACTTCGGCAACGTGGGGAAGGGGTCTGGGGTTGTCAAATGACTCTTCTGCCGTTCCAGGTTGCCGGAGCCCAGTAGTCTGCCTGGCATTTCCCCGGAGGCCTTGGGCTGCAGGGGGGCCTGGCCGGGCCCGATGTTCGGGGGCCGTCGGTCGCCGGGTCAGGGCGGGGTGGGGCGGGGTGGTCCCGAGGGGCAGGGCGGGGCGCTGCGGGCGCTCCCAAGCTCTGCAGCCTCGGCCCAGGGGCGGGGGCGGGCGATGCGGAAGTGCCAGGCGGGCGGGAGGCGCAGCTCGGGGAGAGCGCAGCTCGGCCCCGCCGCCCGGCCCGTGCTCCCGGGCGCAGTCACGCGGGCGCACCGCAGACAGGTAGGTCCCGGCCGCCCGCCCTCCTCTCCGCGCTCTCCCGTCACCTGCCGGCGGCGGGCGGGGGACTGGGGCAGGGCGGGAGCGGGTCCGCGTCCGGCTCCGCCGGGCAGTGGAGCTCCAGCGGTGGGGTGGGGGTGGGGAGTGCGCCTACTGCTGGGCGCGCCCCTCGGTCTGGCGGCCTCCAAGGGGCTTCCGACGTCCGGATCAGCGCGGGATGCCCGGCACCAACAGCCTCCGTCCCGCGGGCGCCCGGAGGCCCGGAGGCCCGGGCGGCCGAGTGGCTACCAATGCCAGGGGCGCCAGCTCCGCTCTTCTCTCCCTCCGTCTCGCCAAAGCCACCGCAAGGATGGGGAGCGCCCGGGCGCCCGACGGCGGGCTGGCTTGGGTCTTAGAGGGTCTTCGCCTTTCTGCGCGCTCTGCATCCCTCTTCCCCCGGCACCCCTCACCCTGTCGGTTAAGAGAATGAGGCTTAAAGGGCTCGCCTTCCCAGGACCTTAAGGCCAATGGCAGGAATTCGGGCAGAGTGTGTGGGCAGATGGTGTCGGGTAGGGGCGCCGTCTTCTGACTCGCGACCGACAAGAGGAGCTGCCCCTCCTAGCAGGGAAGAACCACCGGGAGCAATTCTTGGACTAGTTTCTTTACGTCCTTCCCTCGAACTTAGAAACAAAACAAGTAAGAGTCTAAAAGTAGAGGGAAAGTGAGAAGGCTGTGGCCGCGACGCGGGTAGGTGTTTCCCCCCGCCGCCGCTCCCAAAGCGCAGTCGGGGGAGGGGCACAAAGGGTGGGGAAGAGACAGGGGGCGCCGTCAGCTGGGGGAGCGCTTGGAGAGGCAGAGCCCGAGCCCGAGCCCGAGCCCTGGAGGTGGCTCCGCAGGATTGGCCCGTGCTCCCCGCGCGCCCAGAGCGAGGATGAGTGACCGGCACCAGCCGGGACGCAGGCGGGCCCGAGGGAGGAGGCTAGAGGGGCAGCGGGGGCCAGAGGTAGAGTCCCCGCCCTCCCTTGAACGATCTGGTCGGGGCGCTAAGACTCCTGTCAAGTCTAGGGAGGCACTGGGAAACGACTCTTTTTTACCTAAAGGCCTTACTTTGGGGTTTCCCCCTGCACCTTGGCCGTCCCCTGAAGGAAGCTGAGAGATGAATCTGCTGCCTGAGAGCCCCAGCTTGTCTCAGGATGTGGTCAACTCACTTGGAAGGTGTGGGATTAGGGTCATAGCAGGTGCAGGGCACCCTTTGCCTTCTCCCTGAGCTTAGTGTGAGGTTTGCCGGGAGACGGTGTGAATCCGACAAACTCCACAGGAGGCAAGGTTGGCTCCTGGAACTGTAGGGCCCTGAGGTGAATTGTGGGGCTTCCCCACCTCAGCAAGAGTTCCTGAGAAGGAAAAGATGCTTCGCTTTTATAAAATTCACCCATGAGGGCTTCCTCAGGTCCTCAGCAGCCCGTACCTCTTTTCCTCATTTCCATGGAAACTGATGGTTTTTCTGGCTTTCCCCACTCTCCAGGGCTCAAATCCTAGGCCTGGGGGCTGCAGAAATCTCACCCCAGGTCTCCAGACCCCTGAGAAGGCAGACCTGGTCAGGCCTGCCCTCTATTGAAAAATCAAGTCCTCACAGCAAGGGGCATGGAATGTGGGATGGGTTTTCCAAGGTGGTGCTATAGCTTCTGAGGTCCCCTGGGACTATAGGTGACTGTTTCTGCCTGGGAGCAAAGTAGGGATGGGGCCCAAACCCACTGAAATTCAGAACTCTTGGCATTAGGATAGTCTGAAATGAGATCTAAGTCCACCTCTAGGCAGGAGGAAACCTCCTTGGCAAACACACTAAGACTGGTCCTGGTGCACCTGAGGCTGAAGACCTTTCTCTGGCCCGCTGGACACCCTCCCCTGGCCGTGGCCAGACTTGTTATGAGAGTCTCCTCTCCATACCCCACTCCTTAGACCGCCCCAAGCGATTGTACCTTACTGACATGAGTAATTTCAAAATCTTTGTCTTGAACAGGACTGCTGGGCCAGGCTAGGCGTCAGGGCTCACGCTGACTTCCTCCTTGCCCTGGGCAGAGAAGGAGGCCCTCTCTGGTGTCCCAGCTCCACCCCCCCCCCTTTGGCTGCGGGCCTGACCATGTGGAAGGGTGGGCGTCAGGGTAACTTGCCTCTGCTCTGGGTCGACAGAGCTTTCCTCTGTCCACCTTCACTTAGCCACAATTGGCAGCTACTGATGACTATCACAGGTCTGTTAGAGGACCAAGGGCTTTGGGCAGAGGGTGCAGGTGGAAACTATAAATACCACTGTGGTGGGTGAGGCTCTTCCCCATGCTGTGAACCACAATAAATGTGTAATGACCAGCAGCAAGGCTTGGGGATTGGGCAATGAGCTACAGGGTAGGGGATTGAGAATTTGGTTTTAGGGACCCAAATGTCAATGTTTCCATGGACCTTCCCCCCCTCAAGTTCACAGTGAGTCAGATTTCTGAGTTGTCTGGTCTGGCCACTTTCATTTCCCCTGGGGCTGGGTGGAGATTGGTTCAGAAAGGGGAACTGAGCCACCAGTCTTATGAGGCCTGGGGACAGGCCTGGGGGCTCTCCCACTCTCCCTTGTCCTAGCCCAGAGCCGGGCACTGCTCTGAGGAGAGGCCTGCAGATGGGGACTTCTTAGCAGCGTGGAGGCGGCACTTAGCACCTCCAGCCCAAAAAGGCACTGGGCAGGGAATTTCTGGGAAAACTGAGCTCTAAGCAAGCCTGGAATGATAGGGTCCACACCTGAGAGATCATGTTGTTCCAGTCTCCCACCTAAGGCAGGCTCGAGGACCCCCAGAAACCAGTTGCTCCCAGGCCTAGCCTATTAGTTGCATGGCTTTAGCTGTTAGAAATGTTTTCAACCCGGGTCTAGTCTGCCTTGGTGGAGGCTGACTCAAACCCTAGTCCTGTTGTCACATGGTGGTACCACAAATGTTAAGGATAGCTCTTGTCCCTATCCACCAACCCAGATGCCCCATTTCCTTCAGCCATTCCTCCTTCCCTGACAGGCCCGCCCCACCATGGACCCTTGCCTGTGTCACAGCCCCAGCGGCCTTCCTCTGACCTCTGGTCTCACCACACTGAGTCAGAGGAGGATTCTGGAGAGAGCAGGCTGGTGGGGAGAAATAGCTGGAGGACAGAATCTTCTAGCATCTTGGGTATATCAGTTGGCTGCTATTTCTCAAGTCCCACTTAAGGCCGCTGTCCTGGTGATGCAGGAGGTAGACTGAGTGGGCTGATGGGATTTCTCTCAAGATGTCCAGGTGTGGGGAAGCTTCATCCCTGAGGGAAACTGAGGAGGGAAGGAAGCTCTGAGGAACAGGTGTGGAAACCCTCTCTCCATTCACACGCTGTGACTTGCTCTTCAACCAGGTCTCCTAGAGGGTGATATAGTGAGGGAGTCCTCTGGACAAGGAGAGGGAGGGCAGAAGGGGAGGGAGGGAAGCGGGGTGGGCAGGAAAAAAGCTGAGCAAAGAGGTGGTATGGGCTGGAGACAGCCTCCAGCCTGACCCCACAGGGAGCTCTGGAGCACAGCTTGCTCCACCTGAAGCAAGGGGGCTGGCGTTTTGTGTGCACATGGCAGTCGTTGCCCGGCTGTGGGCTGCCTAACCCTGGAGTGAGGCAGCAGTGAGCCGCTCTGTACCTTTGTGCCATTCCAGCCTCACAGCAGCTGCGGAGTCGATGTCCCACCTGGTACAGCACGGCTGGGTGGGGCACGCACAGCATCCACTCTACCTGTAAACGCCCTCCTTCTCCCCCTCACCCCCAAACACAAAGCACAGATGCAGTGACCCTGAGACAAGAAGGCTGATGGTTGGAAAAGGGAATTGGCTATGAGCATCTGGGCAGACCAGAGACACTCCAGCCCCCGGTACTGGGAGGAAGAGAAAGCCATAATATCCCTGGTTTGGCCCCTTGCGTCCCTCCCATCCCCATTTTCATGCTGCAGGGAGTATCTATCTGGAAATCTTCTGATGACCCCCTCTTTCTCCCACAGACCCCTTGGCCATGAACCAGCCTGCCCCCAGGGCACCCCCTCCACCCCGCCGCGTGCGATTAAAGCCCTGGCTGGTGGCCCAGGTGAACAGCTGCCAGTACCCAGGGCTGCAGTGGGTCAATGGGGAAAGGAAATTCTTCTGCATCCCCTGGCGCCATGCCACGCGGCACGGCCCCAGCCAGGACGGAGACAATACCATCTTCAAGGTAAGCTCCGGACATGGGTAACTGCCTGGACTTCTGGGGCGCCCCTGTCCTAGAAGAGGATCCTCGTACATCTCAAACTGACCACTCTCCCAGCTGCCTAGCTGCAGGTGACCCCAGGCTTGGACCAAGGGGAGGCGGGGCATACCCCTCACTCTGCTTTTTTTTTTTTTTTAAGATTTTATTTATTTATTAGACAGAGAGAGACACAGCGAGAGAGGGAACACAAGCAGGGTGAGTGGGAGAGCGAGAAGCAAGCTTCCTGTGGAGCAGGGAGCCCAATGCGGGGCTCGATCCCAGGATCCCGGGATCCTGACCTGAGTCGAAGGCAGACGCTTAACGACTGAGCCACCCAGGCGCCCCTCACTGTGCCTTTTTAAACCTCTTGCCCAGAGCAAGGTGGGGACTGAAAGACCCCCCTGGAGACCCTCCTCCTCCCTTTTCTTGTCTCATTCTCATCACCTGTGAGTGCGTGTGCAGTGTGCGTGTTTGGTGTGCACATACTCTAAAAGGAGACCACAGAATGCCCCTGTGATGGGAACACTAGGAGGTAACTATATATTCAGTTTTCTGCATGAAACCAACCATATATTGTTTTGCATCCTGCATTTTCCACCCAATATCAGAACCAGCTTTCCTCTGCCAAAAATGTCACATCCCTTTCAGTGACCACTGGAGGGTTCGCAATTTAGTTATCCAAACCCGGCTTTTGGACGCTTCACGTTGCTTCTAGCGTTCCAGTATTGAAGACCCGTTGCCATGTACCCCCTCTAAACTCTTAACCCTTTGTATATCTCAAGTGATTTTCTTTGGGGTTAGTTCTTGGAGTTCAACATTGCTGGGTCAAACAGAATCCTTATTTTTTTTTAATAAAGATTTGGATATGCTTTCCTTAGTCTTTGTGGGTTGATATTTACCCTTTGAAGGTTCTTTTCAAATCTGTTTCTTATTTTTGAATAGGTAATGAAATTCAAAATTTAAAAAGTGTAAAATGGTTTGCAGCAAAAATCTCCCTCCCCCCTCTGTCTCCAGCCACCCATCCCCTCCCCAGAGCAATTAGTATCATCAGTTTCTTGTTCATCCTTCCTGATTTTTGTGCATAGGCGCAAATAGGTACCTATCTCCCCCCCCCCACGTTTTACAAAATGATAGATGTAGACGTACCCTTCTGTACCTCATATTTCTTGAAGATTGTAACACGTCAGGATATCAAAAACTTCCTTTTTTTTTTCTTGCTGTCCGGTATTCCATTCTAAGGATTGGTCGTTAATTTAACCAGTTCCCGTTGATGGATATTTATTTGGGATCTTCTGCTTTTACAGATAGTGCTGCAGTGAATAACCTTGTAGGTGCAGAATTGTGTGTGGATGCTTCTGTCTCCCTAGGATAAATTCCTAGAAGTCGAATTGCTAGGTTAAAGGGAAGAAATATTTGTAATCCTGCTATCAGCCAACTTACTCTCAAAAATAATACCAATAGCTGAAGTGTACGGAGCCCATCCGAAGTGCAGGCACAGTTCTGGAAGCTCTGTGGGCCCCGGAATCTTTAATACCACCCTGAGGAGGGCACTACGATGGGGATATTACAGCAAAAAGAGGCAAAGTGACATGCCCCTGGCACCCAGCTGGTGGGTGGCCATTTCCAGATTCAAACCCAATACCACTCCAGATCCCATGCTCTTATCCACCATGTGACACAGTCCTCCTTAGAGATTGTACCTATATTGACCCTCGCAGGAGCAGTGAATGAAATGCCTTTCAAAGCACTTAGGTTTCCTTTCGTTTGTTGGAGCCCTGAGGGCTGGGAAGGACTGGAGTCCTATCTCCCACTGTGCAGAGGGACACTCAGGTGAGGCTCCGCATGTCCCTGAAGTTCTCACCGCTCAGCAGTGACTCCCACGGGCCAGGAGGGGCTGGGGCTTTGCTGAAGGTGGAGGTTCTCTGTGGTGTCCTATCTTTTCTTCCTGCCTCAGGCCTGGGCCAAGGAGACAGGAAAGTACACGGAGGGGGTGGACGAGGCAGACCCGGCTAAGTGGAAGGCCAACCTGCGCTGTGCCCTTAACAAGAGCCGTGATTTCCGCCTCATCTATGATGGACCCCGGGACATGCCACCTCAGCCCTACAAGATCTACGAGGTCTGCTCTAATGGCCCTGCTCCCGCAGGTACCGTGCCTGACCAGGTGGGGGCTACCTAGGAGGCTGTTCAGGAAGGCCCAGGGCCCCTCCAGCGTGCAGTGGTCAGGGGCGTGCTTCGAAGTCCTAACACCCCAGGTTCCCAGGAGTGGCCTGCGATGGGCCCTGTGTGGGGCCCAGCATGACTTGGCACAGACCAGGCTCCGTGTCCGTCTTCCTCAGCTTGTCCCTGTTCTTGGCTCTTGGCTCCAGGGAGTGTAGGTCTAGTGACCTAAGGAGCTTAGTGCCATGAGGTCGGGGAGGTCCCTAGTGATTCCTGGCGGCTGTGTGGCCCTTCACTTCACTGCTGGGGCAGCTCTGGGCAGGGAAGAAGCCACAGCGGGAGCTGCCCCACGGAGCCCTGGTGGCCTTCCTTCTCCTCCCCCACTGACTCCCTTGCTTTGTTTTCTCTCCCTGCTCTGCAGAGTTGCAGCCCAGTGAGGACTACACTTTTGGTCCAGGAGAGGAGGAGGAGGAGGAAGAGGAAAACGGGAGCTCAGGACCATTCTTGGCAGCACCTGCCTGCACTGACGTGGTGGGTCTTGTTAGGGCCTTTCTGTGGGGCTGCTCTGCTTTGGGATTAAGCGGTCCCTTTCCTCCAGGACCCTGCTGCCCTTTTTATAGCTCTTCTTGAGTTTCTTCTTGGGGTTCTGAGGCTAGGAACGCAGTCACCACCCTGAACCTCCTTAGGGCTCTGTTCGTACAAAACATGCCCACACGTTGTGTGACACACCCTCACAGGAGCTGGGGCTGGGTAGGTACTACTTCCCGTAGAAGGCAGATGAGGACACCAAGGCGCTCAGAGTTCACGGAGCTGCCTGGAGGGCAGAGCTGGGAGTGAAGGCAGGGTCTGGCCTTGCAGAGCTGAACACCGGGGAATTGCCTGTGTGATTCTCATGGGTTATTTCTTTAGCATCAGATCAGTTCATTAACTTGTCCTCCCTTCTCTCTCTCTCTGGCCTATTCCCTCCTCCTTTGCCTGGGTCTTCCCTTCAGCTCCAGAGGATGTTACCAAGCCTGAGCATCACAGGTGGGGCTGGGAGGGGGCGTGGCTGGGGGCCTAGTATAAGGAGAAGCTGCAGGTCCCCTAGGTACCTGGGAGGGGGCTGAAGGGAGGCTGGGGGGAGGCCCAGGGCTGAGAGTAGGTGGGCCTGGGGGGGGGGACGTTCCCAGAAGTAGCATTAAAGCTCTGCCTGCCCCCACCCTCTGTAGAAGCAGTGCAACCTGGCCCCCCCATGGCACCCTATTCTTTACCCAAAGAGGATGTCAAGTGGCCGCCCACTCTCCAGCAGCCTGTGGTGCTGGGCCCTCCTGCACCAGACCCCAACCTCCTGTGCCCCGCCCCCGGCAACCCTGCTGGCTTTGGGGAGCTTCTCCCTGAGGTCCTGCCGGGCCTGCAGCCCGGGCCCCTGGCTGCCAGCCTGCCCCCCACGGGTGAACAACTCCTGCCTGACCTGCTGATCAGCCCCCACATGCTGCCTCGTAAGGACCCACAGGAGGGCTGGGCCGGGTAAAGTAGGGCTGGGGGGTTGGTTTGCAAGAAGGGTGGAGGATGAAGAGCAAGGATGCTCAAGCCAGGCCCTCCGTGAGGCGGGGTGGGGGTGGGGTGGGGAAGAAAGTGGGAGAGCCAACGAGATGGCCTGGCTGCTGGGCAGACGGGACAGAGCAAGTCAGTGGGCTGCAGAACAAGGTGGCATGGGGCTCACAGACTGGCCGGGCCTGCCCTCTGCCCCATAGTGACTGACCTGGAGATCAAGTTCCAGTACCGGGGGCGGCCACCTCAGGCCCTCACCATCAGCAACCCACAGGGCTGCCGGCTCTTCTACAGTCAGCTTGAGGCCACCCAGGAGCAGGTAGAGCTCTTCGGCCCTGTGAGCCTGGAGCAAGTGCGCTTCCCCAGCCCTGAGGACATCCCCAGCGACAAGCAGCGCTTCTACACAAACCAGCTGCTGGATGTCCTCGACCGCGGGCTCATACTCCAGCTGCAAGGCCAAGATCTGTATGCCATCCGCCTGTGTCAGTGCAAGGTGTTCTGGAGCGGGCCCTGCGCCTCCGCTCACGGCTCACACCCCAACCCCATCCAGCGGGAGGTCAAAACCAAGCTCTTCAGCCTGGAGCATTTTCTCAATGGTGAGGGACTCGCCTCATGTTCCTCCTGGCTTTCTCTAGTCCAGGGGCATGGTTCTAGCCTCTGAGGGCCTTGATCTTGCTGCAGAGCTCATCCTGTTCCAGAAGGGCCAGACTAACACCCCACCACCATTTGAGATCTTCTTCTGCTTTGGGGAGGAATGGCCTGACCACAAACCCCGAGAGAAGAAGCTCATCACTGTACAGGTATACCACCATCTCACCTCTCAAGCCCCCGCTCTGCTTTGGCTTGAGTACTGGGGGAATCCTGTGGCGCAGCCTTTGCCCCAGGGTGGAGGCTGAGGACTCTCTGAGCAGGGTGGACTTGGCAGCCAGAGATAATCAAGGCCCAGGCTTGCCCACACATAAGTAGCCTTTGTAGGAAGTAGAAATTAGTGTCCCTTCTTCCTGGTGGATGCCTCAGGCACAACTGGATTGGACAGTCCGCCAAGGTTCTCCCTGTCCCTCTTTGCTCCCCCAGGTGGTGCCTGTAGCAGCTCGGCTGTTGCTGGAGATGTTCTCAGGGGAGCTTTCTTGGTCAGCCGATAGTATCCGGCTACAGATCTCAAACCCAGACCTCAAAGACCGCATGGTGGAGCAGTTCAAGGAGCTCCATCACATCTGGCAGTCCCAGCAGCGGTTGCAGCCTGTGGCCCAGGCCCCTCCTGTGGCAGGCCTCAGTGCTGGCCAGGGGGCCTGGCCCATGCACCCGGCTAGCATGCAACAATGAGACTGCAGACAGTGACTGGCACAGGCTTCCCAGGTGGCTGTGTGCGCTCATGTGAAGGTATGATGGCCTCAGTGGGCACCTGACTGGCTGCAGGGCCCTCTAGCTGGGTCTCCTGGAAGTGGATCGGCACCAAGGAGAGGGGAAGAGAGGTTCCAAGTTCCAGGCTTTCTCCTGTAGCACCCGAGGGAAACTGGTAGCGTTTTGCTTTGAGAACGGTCTTCCTGTATATGCCTCTCCTCTGCTCACTCTGGAGGAACTCAGCCATTGGCCCCAGTGAGCAGAGGAGTTAACTCCACCAACCCTGGGGGCCTAGTTGAGAGGGAATTGTCCCAGCGTGGCCCACTCTTGTGGTTGCCAATTCCTCAGGCAAAAAGAGCCAAGTGCTACGGGCCATGCTCCCTCAGCAGGGCATGGGCCTGATCCGATTTTGGGGTTCCCTAGTTTGAGTCTCACTTCTTTACATCTCTCTCCCTCCTAAGATAGGCACTTAGGTATCACACCAGATCCTTAAGACCGGCAGCTACCTCCTTCTTCAGAGTCTAAGAATATGGGGTAGAAGTGGAATTTTATGTCTTTTTCAGTTAATAAATATTAAAAACAGATTCAGCTATTTACTTTTTCCAGTACCAGTTGCTTCCATGCTGTTCTATCAGACCCTATTTCTGGTATCAGCTGACCCTCTTTCCCTTAGCACCCGCCCTTCACCTCTGAGGCCACAACAGAAGGGCCTGCCTTTCCAGGCTGATGAGTCAGTGGGGCTCCATAAGCTCTCAACTGGCTGGCTTTGCTTTCTAGGAGGAAGCTAGCTGAAGGAAGGGCGTGGATCTTTAAATGTGTGCAGTTTAAAATCCTGTCCAAGTCAAACTCTGAGTACAACTGATGTTATGCAGGAAGGTTTGTTTCATGGATTCCAAATACTGTATAGAGCTCCGCAGTCAAGCTTATTAGCTCAAAAACCAATACTTTAACATACTACGTGATCCTATTTATATAAAACTAAAGAAAATGCAAACTAATCTACAGTGACAGAAAGCAGATCAGTGGCTACTGGAGCACGGTAAGAGGCATGAGAGAACTTTGGGGAGTAAAGGTATGTTCACTATCTTGTGTTAATGGTTTCACGGGTATATCCTATGTCAGAGCTTGATCAACTGTGTAACTGAAATATGTGCAGCTTATTCTATGTCAATGATACTGCAATACAGGTTTCTTTTTTTCAAAGACCAAACACTGTACTCAGTGGGTTAGGGATCAGTCTACTTGGATGGCTGTTGTAGAAAGAATATACGTACCACATTTCTGTTTAACGTGCTGAGGGACCCATTCTCTCTCCCACCGAGGCTGTATGAAAGGATAAAGTGCAGCATGAGGAGTTTTAGGGTGAACTAAAATAAAAGATGCAGAAGGAGCCACTCCCCTGAAATATGGAGGGCCCGTGGCATCAAGGGCAGGGCCCGCCATTTAAACTCCATCTCCAGCTGTCTCCCAGGTAAGGGCTAAGTCCGCTCCCTCACGCAGTCTAGCTGTATCATTTCAGAGCTCTGAGGCAGTGGAAGGAAGGAAAAAACAAAGACTGATTAATTTTTAAAAATTTATTGTTTTCTTTTTTCTTTTTTTTTTTTGTTTGTTTTTTTTTTTGTTGCCGTTGATTTGTTCTTGAGATGGCTACAACACCAGACAGAACAGTGCCCTCATATCTAACACCTGTGCAGGGCCGCAACTCCTTTAAAACATTAAGGTCTGTTTTGGGCTTCCCTCTCCCGCCTCACCCCCCAATGAAAGTCAAATAATTTCCACATTTTTTAGTAAAATACAGTTAGCCCTGTAAACACTTTCCCCCATACTCCCACCCCTTTTTTTTTTTTTGTCCTCTCTCATGTTTGTGGGTGAAAAATTAACTAAAAAACACAAAAATCTTAAAAAAAAACCTAAAACTTAGAATATACATTTATATCCCACTCACCCTAATTTTGGCTCTTCTCTCCAAGGCCGATGACAACCCAATATGGATTGGAAATGGATTTAGAGACTGGATAGGGTCAGGGCTGGGAATATACATGAATTTTGGCCCTGGCAGGTCCTGGTATCACTGATGTGACCATGATATAAAACAAACAGGCTCCTCCTTGTCGGAACAACTCTAGAGGTGGGAAGAAATGCTGGGGAGAGTGGGAGAAATTTCTACTCATTTTCTTTAAAAGAGGAAGGGAAAGGGAAAGAAGGGAGGGTGGGAGAGAGAAAGAGGAAAAAACAATAGAAAACCTTAAGAGATGATCCTGACCCTTTTCTTCCAACTGCAGCTATGTCGTCTGAATTCCCATTTTCCCTAAGTAAATGGTTTGTTTCACAAAAGTTTGTACTTTATTCCGTGTGCACATGCATATTAGCATGTGTGTATAGGTACGTGTGTGTGTGCGTGTCACTGCTACCAAGTGAACGTTTCAGTTCTGGTTTCAGTTTAGTTTTCCTTTTTTTCCTTTTTTATTTCTTTAAAATTATTTTTCCTTTGAAACAAGTTCACCAGGAAACCAGCTCCCCTCCCACCACGCCGGACAGGCCGCAGCCATCTTTTTTTTAAACCGCACTGATTTTCCCTCACACCCCCAAACAGGAACTCCTCAGGATGGCCTCCGAAGGCTGGAGTCTCTCCCTGTCTGGCGGGACGCCGTGGTGGTGGTGAAGGCCCCTCTGCCACAATGGAGGTTTCTGATTGTGGGACACAGTCTGGTTTTTGTTTTCTTCCTGTCTTCTAATTAAAAAAGACATTCCTGACAAAAGAGAGAAGACCGTCAATAACTGTGGTTCAGGAGATAATAAGCTTCTTCTAAAGTCAAGGTAGAAGTTTTCATATTTGCTCAGGTACCTCATTCTGGCCTCTGCCATAAGAACTTCAGCAAAAAAAAAAAAAGAAGCTGGAGTTTTTACTTGTGATTTCAAGAGAGCTACTGCTATAACGGATACTGCCTGCGGTCCTTTTCTGAGTGTGCTGTGGAAAGTAGGGATGCTTTGTGGGGGGGAAAGAGTGAGCCAGCAGGTCCGGGCTGCCCACCCCAAACCAACCAGAAAATCTCTACTTTAGTCCATTTAAATACTGGGGTTTCATGCAAGAGTTTATTCTGAAGGAAGACTTTGCCTACTAACAAAAGTTTAAACACCACTGATTTAGTCTGTATGAAAAGGGTACTATGTGAATGTATGAAGTAGAGCGGTTAAAAGTAAAGGCTCTGGCACCAGCATATCTATCAATTACTGACTGTGACATCAAGCAAATCGTTTAACATCTTGGAACCTCTATTCCCCTGTACAATGGAAATAATAATGGTGACTAACCCAGAGAACCACCTCAGGATTATCCGAGTTAATACATACAAAGCACTTAGAACAGTACCTGACACACAGTAAGGGCTCCATAAATGTTAGCCACAAGCATCCATAGCTGTCCATGAATAAGCCTATGTGTAACAATGTTAGCTATTACCGACACTGCAAAACTTGAGAATCCCAAATGATATCACTACTCACTAAAGAATAAAATTTAGAAATAATTTCTGGTGTGGGTGAGGGGCACTGCTGTAGAGTGCCTTCATCTACTACTACATTAAATGACAGAAACCACGAGTGAGGTGCTGCACATTCATTGAGAACTGTCTCATGGGACAATAAATACTGCCTAAGACCTCAAAGGGGGGTGCGGGTGCTTAAGAGGAGAACTGCCTTTCTTCTCTCAGTCAAGAAATTGGCACCCAAATCCCACTACCCAGTTCTTTCTGTCCTTAGCTAAGATTCTTGTTTTGCTGCAGAACCAGGAGTCAGGAAGCACATGTACCTCCTTTCCTCTACCTCTTGCCTTGGGCAGAACCTGGCATTTCAGTGTTCAAACTGTAAAAGTGTTAAGAATAAGCATCTTTGCTCATTAAATCCAAAAGGTCAGTTTTAGGAGAATGGTGTCAATGTAATCACAGTCAGCTTTAGGTCAGTACTGTTTTCACCAAAGTAGCCAGGTTAAAAATACTTATTTGTTAACATACACACTTACCATCCTAAAGTGTCTGTAAGGGGATGAAAGGAGGAATTTTTTTTGAGATCTCCGACAATAATAACTTTCCTGTGGGGGTGAAGATGGTATCCAAAAGCAGCTGGCAATTACCTGGTTGCCTGGGCCCAAGCAAACCAGGGTCCTTTCTTAACTGTTCAGCAGTGTTAAACTGTTAAGTCCTTCCCTAACTAGCTATAGTACAAGTCCCATGATGGGCATTAAAATCTATGCCATCCTGGGCGCCTGGGTGGCTCAGTTGGTTAAGCGACTGCCTTCGGCTCAGGTCATGATCCTGGAGTCCTGGGATTGAGTCCCACATTGGGCTCCCTGCTCAGTGGGAGTCTGCTTCTCCCTCTGACCCTCCCCCCTCTCATGCTCTCTCTCTCTCAAATAAATAAATGAAATCTTTAAAAAAAATAAAACAAAACAAAACAAAAAAACCTATGCCATCCCAAGCGCTCCTGACAGCGAGGGGAAAAGCCAGGAACTATAATCACTCACCTGGGTGACAGGCACAGTTCAGGAGTGTGAGCTATCGGAACAACCTGGTGAAGTCTCGCAAGGCCCAGCAAACTTGTTTACATTCCTCAGCACTAGAAAAGAAAAGGTAGGTTGGCCCCTGATGAGAAAGATGTTAATATGCTGCAAACAACCACAACACTGAGGTCCACTAAGAACTATCCTAGCTCTGCTTGAAGCTCTCTCCATTGTCTCTTGATTCTGCTTCTGATCTTTCTGTAACTCAAGGCAAATACTAACTACTGCATGTGAGAATAATTATAAGCTGTATGGTCCCTAAAGAGTGGCTGTGGATAAAAACTGTGTACGTTTGAATCTTGGCTCCACCACTCTTGGGCGAGTTACCAACCTGCTTTGTTGCCGCATTTGTTACCTACCTTATAATGTTCGAAGGATTAAGTCAGTTCAACACTTGGTTGAAGTCCCTGACATAAATACAAGAAAG